CGGATTCGTCTACACGGAGATGCTTGAAAACCCCAAGCATCCTTATTTCTACTCTGTTTCACTCCAAGGAATCTCCATCGGAAAACGGAATATTCCTGCTCCGGCGATGCTCAGGCGAGTGGATAGAAACGGCGGCGGAGGAATCGTCGTTGACTCGGGGACGACGTTCACGATGCTTCCGGCGAAATTCTACAATTCGGTGGTGGAGGAATTCGACAGTCGGGTCGGGCGGGTACACGAGCGGGCTGATCGGGTCGAACCCGGTTCGGGCATGAGCCCTTGCTACTATCTGAATCAGACGGTTAAGGTTCCATCTCTGGTTTTGCATTTTGCCGGGAACGGATCCAGTGTTACGCTCCCGAGGAGAAATTACTTTTACGAATTTATGGACGGTGGAGATGGAAAGGAGAAGAAGAGGGAGGTGGGATGCTTGATGCTGATGAACGGTGGAGATGAATCGGAGCTTGTAAGTGGGCCCGGAGCGATCCTGGGGAATTACCAGCAACAAGGGTTCGAGGTGGTTTATGATCTGTTGAATCGAAGGGTTGGGTTCGCCAAGAGGAAGTGCGCATCTTTATGGGATACGCTTAACCAAGGCTAACATGCGCCATTTCGGTTCGACCGGTTAATCGGATGGTTTGTTTTATCGAACCGTAATTATGTTGTTGAGAAGTGCATAAAATAGATGTTAGCAGTCTATTTTGTATTAGTAGTTGATAGGAGAGTAAATATTATGTATTAGCAGATTCGCAACGTTGTCGATAAAGTTTCTTTTCTTATATGTCTACTAAATCCGTTTTAAATTTTGATCATCTTTGTTATATGTTTATAGGAAAATGGTCACTACTATTATCTTTGTTAGATAGACATCACTTTTATATAATCAACCGAGTAGGATATTTTCGCATTAGAATAAGATATTTTTATACCGGGTACAAATTAGGGGAAGGACCAAAATTTCTTAAATAATGGCTAATAATAATATTAAATGATGTCGGCAATTTTATTTGGAATAGATTCATAAAAATTTGCTTGTTAGCCAATAGTAAAATAAATTTCTTGAAGATGGACATTTAACAAAGAAAAATAAACAAGTAAAGTAACCATCAATTATTTGGCATAGCATCACTATTTATGTTGGATGAGAGGAGGCTTGACAATCACTAATTAGGAATGGACAAAGACTACTCTTAAAGTTATCAAAGAGGTCATGACACGTGGCGAAGGCTATGACCAACAAAACAACAAGCAATACCACCATCTCGTAATACTAATACTAGTGTCAGTTAATTTACTCTAATTACCACTAATTTGCTTTTCGACTTTTCCTTTCAAGTTTACAAGTTCAAAAAGGATTGACTCGGAGTCCGGAGACAGCCAGCTGTGTAATCCACACGTGTTCTTCTAGATATTTTCCATTCTATCAACACAACAAAAATAAATATCAATGCCTTATTACTAAAAATAAAATAAAAAGTTTAATTATTACTTAAAAAAATTCAATCGAACTAATACTTATATAGTGGATATTTAGATAGGTTGACGTTTTAGTGTTGAGATGCTTTTTTTTTATATATATAATGAAGCTAAGATGTTCATACAAATCAAGTTTTATTCATTTATTTTCTATAGAAAATAATATTGTCGTAGGTTTTATTAACTGCATGAACCACGCTTTATGTAGATTCAATAAAGCCCAAACAAACTTTTATATATAACAATTAAATTTAAATCTAACGATGTTTGAGTCCAACCATAAAATAAGTCGGAAATGAAAAGATTTGACTCTTAGATAACAATAGAAAAATAGCCGTAGAAAAATAACATATAGAAAAATGATAAACGTTAAATATTTTTCTTTGTTAAAAGTGATATTCCTTTGTTATATATTTCTTAGGTAAAATATGTAACGATGCATACTATTTTTTTCTGCATATATAAAAAGCTGGTAAGTGATTTATCCACGTTTAGAAAAGAATTTGTATATGGACCAAACCCACTGAACCAAAAAATAGACCCGTAATTTGTATCACGCATCCCAATTCCCCCCCCCCCCCCCCTCTCTAATAATGTTTATAATTCTCTTCCCGTTGCTTCAAACTTTACTCAAAGCCTAAAGACTCTTCAAAATCGCGGAATTTTGTTATAAACGAGGTCGAATATTATACTTTTAATTACAACATTAATCATATATAACTCAGTTTTAATCTGCTATGCATGCATAGATTATACCCACGTACGTAAACACGAGTGTCTTGTAAGCAAATGTTTTGTCATGTGAAATAGTCGAGGAATTTAGCTTAAGATTAATTACAACTGATTTGAAGTGGGCTTACATATACTAAATAGGCCCTTTCAAACCCAACTACATCATGCATGCAAAGCCTTACGTGTAAACGTTAAATCTGATGGATAATACGTATAAAGAGTGAAACAAAAACGTATACTCTGTGCCACTGAAGCATGCATTTAGAGGATGTACTATAAAGCTGAAATTTTTCTAATTTTAGCCATAGACCAACTTTTTTTTTCCCTCTCTCTTTCTTAATAAAAACTTTATCAGGCCTTATGAATAGTGTACGTAAAAGACAACAATTTGAAAAAAAAAA